TCAATATTTTGTATACACAATATGGTATGATTATAGTGCATTAAAAATCTTATTGATCATAAATTTAAAAAAAACTTTCATTTTTATAGCTTTCCATTTATTCATATCGCACTAAAATATTCGATACAATATTATATAAATTTATACCTAGTTTATTGCTAACGATCAAAGCAATTAATTTAATAACACAATATTTAGCTATTAGTTTTATTACAATAAATCATTATTTCACTGACTCGTTTGATTAAATTATTCAAAAATAATCTATTATACATAAGGTGTATTCAGTTTTTTTTTAAATTTTATTTTAAGTTTTACTATTTGATTTAACCATGTAAATTGTCGTGTTGGCACTGATTTTTTTTTTACCTAATACCTCGTAAAAATCAATATAGTTTTGAATAAACTTACTTCTAAAACGTTAAAACTAGGTATTAATAAAAATTATAAATATAAAGTAAATAGGTGACTATATCTCTTAAATGTATTTATAAGTGTTGACTCGCTGTTATATATATATATGTATATATATATCTAGCAAATAGGGTTGACTAATGAATTCGTACGACAACTCAAATTTTTATTTCATTAATGATTATTATAAAATCCAAATGGGAATATGAAATACGGTTTCACACTGTCATCAATAGAAGTAAGGCGTGAGCAAAGTTTAAGTTTTCTACCAACATTCAGCGGAATACCAGAGAAATGTTAGCGACTTGCCTCTGGCCATGGTTATATATCATATGATCATATTTTGTTGAATCAGACTGTAGTTTCGGGGTATTCATTCTATTTCTGAAATTTACTAAAATTAAAGAACTTTCATTTAACACGTTCATGTTGCTACAATGGTACGCTTATTTTCCGATGACCGTGGTTCCTAAATGATAGAACCATATTAAATAACAGAAATCAATATGATATGATATAAATCAACAGTTTTATGACATCAACAGTTATCCTTTAAATGATTCTCATCATTTGATAGAAATATTTGTAGAATAAACCACATTATTATATTATAATGAAATTATCTGCTCGCGCATATGAGGAAAAAAAGGATATAAGGGAAATAGAATCGAAATCCCGTTAAACTTGCTAGTAAAATATAGCTACATAAATATAGTAAGGTGAAACAGTTATTAACCTTTAGTGAAATTAATAAATTTCTTTTTTATATTATAATAATTAAACGTTGAGGACACATTTTTCATTTCATCCAACAAATAATTTTTAAAACAGTCACAATAGTTATGGGTGTAATGTAATGATAAGAACAAAAGTGATTCATATTTTCAAAAGCAGTATTGCTATAACTATGTAATATAACATCTATTCCATACTCGTAAATACCTACTGCTTAATACGCCAATATGTAATTACTAAATATGGGGTTACACGTGACAGATGAATAGTGAGATCTTAAGTATGTGTATTATGTTACAGGGCCACACTATAAAAATAGTCATAAAATATATACACCAATTGAGTTTTAAATTTAAGTTTAATAAGATACTCATTGATTTGAGAGTAAGAAAAAAAAAATATTATTCATAACAAAAAAAAACAATCGTTCGACAAGTTGGAAAGTTGTCTTTATAATTCTATAATTCATTTTTAATAATTAAGTAGAATAAACTGAATAGAAAGTACGACGAAAATCTATTTAACAGATTTTTTTTTCATTTTAAATAAATAATATTAATGTAAGACCAATAAAAAAAAAAAAAAAAACGGTTAGTGATAAGTGATAACTGATAGGGAATAACGAGAATAAGATCAAGTTCATGAATAATCAATTTTTAGAATTCAGTTCTGCAAATATAAAGATATGCTTTCATCCATTAAATAAAATATTGGAAATATTATTAAATTTAAAATTGTAAGTTAAAAAGAAAAGTACACTTAATGTTATATGTTTAGATTTGAATTATATGTACTTGTAATTTTTTCGACGTGTAATAATAGTCTTTAGATTTCTTCTCGAAATATGAAAAATAGGTTTCTATGAGTTTGCTTTGGAAAAAAACTCGTACATTTGAAATACGTTAATAAATTAAATAAACGAGAGACTTCCGGAAAACGATTATATAAGTGGATATAACAAGCATGGGAATTTTCACCAAATACACTGACCAACGTACATTTATAAAATGTAAAAAAATTATTTTAGTGCAAAACTAAAAGGTTTATATTTCGTTTCTATAACGTTCCAAGCGAAACAAGAATTAAATGTATCTATTGAACACAATATTGCTAAAACCATCGTGCAACAAGTATAATTGAAAACATTATCGGTACATACTACCTACTATACTATAATATGTCCATATTATAAATAAAAATATCTCCGAAATGAATCTTGAATGAATGTTTTATTTATAGATAACGGATACATAATAACTCTCTGATTAAAAATTGACGCTAGTCACTATACTATTTTGAAAATAAAAAAATGTTATCTATTTAAAGGGATTCGTTTACACTTCCAGCACATGTGCACTGACGAGTGTACTATATTGATGCAATCATTTGAGAACAAAAGATTGATTTTTCCTCAAAATATAAAACGAGTTATCAGCTAAGCCCCATATTCTCCTTCAAGCCAAACTAGGTTGACTCGACGTATGTTTACAAACCGTAATTCGTTTGAACTTCGTATCTTGAAGTTTCGTATATCGTATTTCGGTTCATTTCCAACGGGCATAAAAGAAAAAAAAGAAAACACATAAAATAATAATAATAATAATAATAATAATAATATCGTCCAATCGCTTAACACTCGATGAAAGCTGCGCAAAGAGGAAGTAATAATGGACTGAGACTTCGATCGATTGGAAGCATAATAATTATATAATAGCAATAATAGTATATAACTATTGTAACGGTCCCACATGCTGATAATTGTGGATGAAATAGAATTAGCGTAGTTGAAAAAAAAATTGAACTCAATGAACTTAATTCATAAACGATGATCAACCAAATATTCTTTATTTGTCTGAATTACCACATTTAAATCTCGTGAACCATGATCAAATATCATAGAGCTGCGTTAACTAGTAAATGTTAGTACTTCGTTGTTGTATCTACGTGTAGTACTTAATACATTTTACAGTACCTATATATGCTGTACTTTTTTCTCTATTATTATTTATTATCGAAAATTACGCACCGTCGTAATAATATCAACGAGTACAAGCCTTTTACATTGCTTTCTGTTACTTATTGTACATTATACCTTTGTTATAATAATATTATGTGGTTGAAAAGTGCACACGTACTATTTTCAAACGGCCGGGTGTAACTACTAATATTAGACGCATGAAAGAAAACGTTTCAACCGTGCGTAGCTTAGCTTTTGGTTCACGCGTTCGTTTAAACCGAATCGTAAGTATAAGCATGAACCCGAGTCTACAGCCGTTTAAAACAGACGGACCCAAAACGCTTTTTTTTATCGATACATTATGACACTTCGCGTACGCACTTCCGGATTTCAGCACATCATCCTGTTTCGGGTGCTGGAAAAACCAATAAAAAAAAAAACTCGAACTCAAACCCAACCCCGTGACCTCCCCCCCTGCGAGGCGCGCAGGTCTCCGCCACGAGCAGCCCAGCGATCTGCACTCGAATTCCGTCGTGAAACGAATAATGTCAGAACGATTGTACTGCAATGTTGATATGTATCGGTTTCGGAGGGCGTCGCGTGTAAACACGACGACCAAAACGCACGCACGCTTTACCGCCGTCGCGCGACCATTGTGTCGTTTGTTGCACGCACATGCCCTGCGATCACATCGTCCGTCGGCAGCGAGCGTTGTACGCCGCGTTTGTCACATTACTATTATTATTACAGTAGTCACTCGATAATTCGAAATTCAGGGGACTAAGTTAAAAATTCGATTTATAGAGGTTTTCGATTTACCGAGTGTTTGAATAATTAAGGGAAAATAATTAATTCGAATTAAAGAGAGGTGAAAAATTATTGTATGTATGTACATATTACATTTATTTTGACATCTATTTATTATACAAAATATACATACATACATATTATTATATTTTATAATTATTAATTGATATTTATTTATTTTATTATTATATTTTACATATTAAAGAAATCTGTTTTTTTTTTTTTTTTTTGTGATAAATTGCAGGCCAGTGGCCACAATTCGGTTTATAGCGTTGTCTAATTTATTGATAACATTGAAAATTGTATCGCATCTTTTTTCGTTCATTTCAGATTACTCAAAAAATTGACGAAATCCTGACAAAAGTTTAGATTAGGTAGGTAAGGTACGATAACGTTAACGTTTATCAACTACGATAATATTAAACCACCGACGTTATAACTTATAAGTTTCATTACGATTATGTGAAATAGATTGTACGTTATCTTCATATGTATGTACATTGTACATGCATATGAACTTACATATAATCGCGTTTAAGGAAATTCGAATTATAGAGGTTTACGGAATAAAAATTCAAATTGTAGAGCGTGTCCCACCGTCAGACATTTCGAATTATCGAGGGGACCGGAATACATGAACTTTCTTCTAACTATAGAGGTTTTCTCAGGGGACTTAGCGTTTAGTTCGATTTATGGAGTTTTTCGAATTATCGAGGTTCGAATTAACGAGTGACGACTGTATTATATCGTTATCGTACAGTCGTCGTCGTCGTCGTCGTCGTCTACCCGAGACTGGTCCCCGGCGGCGTTCGATGTCGACCAGTGAGCTTAGAGACCGGTCTATAAATAGCCTACAGCAGCGCGCGGCGTCGGTGGCGTCGCCGCGCGAGCGAGGCGGGAGGGCGGGGGAGCGACGTTTCCGTCGGGGTCCGAGTCGCCGACGGCAGCAGACGGGCGCGCGCGCGCTCGCGGCGACAAAACGCAAACGTAACCGTACGCGGACAGCCAGAGTCGGCGCGCGCGCCCCCAACTGACGAACCGTGTACGTGACGCGTTTCAGTGGCGTGCGTGGCGTCAGTGCGGTGTGCGCAGTGCGTGTCATCGTAAAGAGTATCGTGTGCGTGCGTGCGGACGATGGACCGCGCGTAGCCGCGACCGCAGCGGTCGCCGTCGTCGACCGGACCGCCCGGTGGTGACCGCGACCGCGGTCGGGCGACGCCGGCATGGAACGGAAACGGAGCGGCCGGCGGTACTACAACAAGCGGAAGAAGACGTGGACGCAACAGTGCAAGGACTACCTGCGGCAGTTCATAGCGTTCCTGTTCAGCAACATCGGCATCATTTGCCTGGTGGTCGGTTACACGATCGCCGGCGCGTTCATGTTCATCATCATCGAGGGCGCGCCGGGCAACGCGATAGCGGTCATCGACCGGGTGGGCGCGAACCGCAGCGGCACGGCCGACCGGATCTGGGACATGGTGTGCTGCAACGCGTACTGCGAAGACGAGTGGAAGCAAGAAGTGCAGGTACACCTCCGGTCCTTCCAGAGCCACGTCATCGAGGCCGTCCGCAACTTCAGCTATGAGGGCCCCAACAAGCAAATGACCCGATGGTCGTTTTCCGGGTCGTTCCTCTATTCGCTGTCCGTCATCACTACCATAGGTGAGTGATGGGTGACCACATGCATATATATATATATATATATATATATTAGCTTCCAGACGAGTGTACACCCTAACCCCCTCGAATTGTGGACCCACTGGCTTGTGGAATTGGTCGGGGCAGGGATTTTATGGGGAGATTTTCGCGTAAAGAGTCAAAAGTCTCAATGATTGAGATTGTTGAGTAGACATCTACTGATTTAACCGAGTGAGATTATATCATACTTATTAAATGTCTATGATAAATTACCTGATGGTTAACAGAAATAAAAGCTATTGTTATAGGTAACTATTGAAATTAAAAATATCTAGTTTATATCCGGTTTAATCGAATCTGTATGAACTTTCTCCAGTATTCGAATCTCATGAACAGTCCATAATATTATCAGACCTTTGTGCAAAATATTCTTTATATCTACAGATAATGATAATGCTATTTATCAATAACTTATGATTTAATCTTTTTTTTTAATATTTGTTTGACTAATTTCGTATGTATTAGTACTAATCTATCAACATGTATATTTATAATATTAAAATATATTTATGGATTTATAGTTGATTTTGTTAAAAAAACAAAATACAGCTCAGATGGTATTTGTTTTACTGATTTTATGAATATTTTATACAAAATAAATTACAGACTTTAAAATGTTTTCTTTCAAACTATACACCTTGTGTGGTCCATGTAAACCCGTCTAACTATGGTATTATCTAAAGGGTTGTCGGCTTGTGGTATCGGAAAACGTATAAACCAGATAAATGTTGTGGTTCAATCAAGATTCGTGAGACATTAATCTAATACACGACGTCTTGACATCCTTTTGAGGACAATAAGTCAATATTTACTGTCTATGTCATTCTTATGAGTAATATTTTGAATTCCTGCTCTAAGTAACTATTCTCAAAGTGTTAGGTCTATCTATCCTAATATTCTATTTTGGCGATCTCTAATGAAACATTGCTAAAAACAAATTATCTTTACTTTTATTTATTTTTATTTTTGCGTTAATATATGTCATTTTAATTTTTAATTTTACCACAACGTTTTCGAAATCAATTAAGTTTTAAATTGTTTTAGCAGACATGCAATTCCTTTTATAAATTTGTACACATACAGACATACAAAATTAGTTTTTAATCGTTTTATTTGTATAATTTCGTATTTTATATATTTTTTGTTATTAAACCTACCTCATCTTTTTTGTTTTTAAAGACGAAGTATTTTTATTCATAGTAGTTTAATACCTAAAGCTATGGCAGTCATTAATTTTAACATAAAGAAATTTTTACTACTAAAGTTTTTAACGACGGAAATAAGTAATTATTTTTTAGCACAAAATGGTAAATAATATATAGATATAACATTATTGATTTAACAACCATTGCGTAAGTCCGTGAATCAATTATTATAACAATACAACACACAGAAAAATAATTATACATAATATATAAATATCAAAATGTAAAGCTAAAAATATAAGTGATTGCTTCAAAATCGGTTGATGTTTTATAAAGTTTTTTTTACTCAGAAGATTTCAAGGCCTAAGAATAAACCACGTTTGTTTCAACAAGTGATTTTTAAATCATTATTATGAAAATATACAGAGAAATTTCATAACTTTTACATGACATGTATTCCATTTCCAACAAAATGTACTTTGAAATAATAATTATATATTTTTTACTACCCCATAATAATGTTAAGTGTTTTTCGTAAAATGCACTTTTGAGCTGAATACTGTCATTCATTCATGCAAAATCTAGAAAAATGTGTTTATACTTTATAGTGCTTGATTTTTTTTCAATAAAACTCTGAATCAATTCAAAATATATATAACCTTACCTATTAATAATTTTCCGTCATAATAAATTACGATCATGGATTCACACCACAAAAATTAAAACTTCGTATTGTCACATCAAAATGTGTATTATAAATTATAATACTATTACTACAATTACCAAATTGCAATACTCTGTTTTTATAAAAACTTTCGGACATTACAAGTATTATTATGGTATACTATGACCACCAACAAACCTGTATGTAGGAGAATTATATTATGTGTAATCAAATATTTTTAAGTCCATTTTCAGTTAATATGTTCTTTAATTTTTTATATAGGTATTTTAATTATTTCTTTTTTATGCCTTTTATTTTTTTACGACTTTCAAGTACCAATACAGTGCATACACTTATAGATTTGTTATAATTTATGTAATAGTATTTTATCGAATACGATCACTAGTTAAAAATCGATAACTTTAACTGATGTATTTTTATACATATAAAAATAAATATTATTATTCTTATTCTTATTATTATTGTTGCATTGTTTGGCTGTGAATACAACTGAAAAACTCATGTATAATATAATAATAGTTGAAAAAAAAATGATTTATTTCAATTTATTATTAAAGCTCTAAGTATGTGGTTGTCATGTGTTCTTACAATATATAAATATTATGTTTTTCTATACTGTAGTTCTGGACAAAATACTTTTTTTGTGTATCTATTATGCATCTATCCTTGCTGGCGATAAGTCTTTGCGTATGCATATAGACACAACAAATTCCTCCAATTTATTAAACAATAATATTGAATAAGAAATTTTATAATTTGTATTAATATTTAATATTGATGCTTATGATATTATGTGGTATTATTGGTTTATTATGATATTAGTTTTTTTTTTTTTTATTTAAACTTACAAATAATAATCTAAAATTAACAGTACCTATTTAGTTATTTCAAGAAGAGCTATAGGTACCGAAATCTATTATAAGCACAATAATATAATATGACTTCAGTTAAAAAATAGAGAACACATGATCAAATGGCATTACATAAAAAATATTATGTTCAATTTAGTGACAAATTAAACTTATTAAGCTTAATATAAAATTTAATTAAATATAGGTACTTAGGTTTAAAAAAAAAAAAAAATTAAAAATTAGGTACCTCTATATACAAGAAAATACAGACATTTAGAAATTAGCACTCATTTATTTTTATATATTACTTAGCTTTTAATTTAATAACAATATTATTATTGTTATTATTATTATTATTACTATAAACTGTACGTGTCATTACACAATGGTGGCACAGCTATAATAGCGAATAGCAATTCGATGCGTGTAATAATATCAATCATTATTATAATTTAATATTTTTGTGTGTTTTTCGCTCATTGACTGCGGAAGACGTTTTCTTTAGAGAATATGATTAATAATGGTATAGGTTATAAACATTAGTAATGTTATAAATGTTATAATGATAATGCGTTGTTACTTACGGCTATCGGATTCGTCATATTTATGTATCCTAGAGTCAAACCAAATATTTACAGTTCTTAAATACCTACAATTATATTCCATAAAAAAATTAAAAAATTTTTTTTTTACAATTTTTATTTTGTATATTTACTAATTTTACTGTGTTTTTGGCATTCAACAATTTGAAATTTTTAATTACCTATTAAATCATTAAGAATTTGATTTTTAGTGCTATAACTTTCGAGTCTTGATTAAAATAACTAATATTATGATATTAATAATATTAAAAACAATTGATAATATACAGCTGGTCGTTATCGTCACCGATTATCATTGTACCACTGAACAATATTGTATCGAGTTATTATAGTCTCCTCATCCAAGACTACCATTACCTTTAAACTACGAGTAATGAGTATGTTATAAATAACCAAAAACACTTGTTCAGTATGTCATACGGAATCAATGTTAATTTCATGGATTTTATATGAAGGCCATTTTTTATTATAATATTACAATAATATTATATATTGTGCATTTCGAAGTCTTCACAGCTTCTCCAATGAATGGCGGTGTAGCGAAAATAAATGGTCTTATTTTAATGTTATGACGTACTATTATATTAATTGTAGGTTATTCACCCAATCCCACTGTTGATATGACTAAATTTCGTCATTATCAGTAAAATTATGCTCATGTTTAGTGTATTATAGAAAATATTGTTATATGTACCTATTAATAATTATTCTGTTATAACTAACATATTATACGCAATATACTACATTGATATGTTTGGAATTCACAAAATTTAAAATTTACCTGTTACTTTTTCATATAGATATAGTGGAAATTTAACTATAATATCCTAAAAGCCTCATATCACTTTGAGAATCTCCATGAAAAATCAATGTGATGTTTAAAACTATTTTAAGAAATGTTTTAAAAGTATCATATATTTTTATAATATGTAATTGTTAAAATTTTAAAAATTAATAAAATTAATCTTAATTTCAAAAACGTTTTAAGAAGTACATAATTGATAACTTATCCAAACAAAGTTAAGTTAATTAATAAGAACAATTTAATGAAAATCGGTGAAAAAAATAATTAATAAACAAAATAGGTTTTAAGCACAGAGTTTTGCATTAGTTAATGTTGTCCATTTTCTAAAATGTATTCACAATATGGTTGCAAAAAATAGTTTAGGTGCTCATTAAAATGCTCAAAGTAAATATTTATCTTTCCCAAATTATTACAATCAAATATAAAACTTACAAATAATTGTAGATGTTTCTAAAAAAAAATGTCTTTATTATAAACTTCTCTCGATTTTGAATATTTATATGATCAAATCATGGTAACATAAATTTTGTTTCTTCCTGTATAATAGATAATATATATAAAAAACGTGCGTGCAGTTCGTTTATATTCTTCGCGTAATATACTATATTATTATTATTATTATTATAAAATGTGCTTTGCCCGAACGTTGCGACTTACGATAGATGCTATCTGAGTAATCTTACTACCCGCCGCGAAATTGATTGGGTTCAATTTTGTCGAACTACGGAGTTATTCATTTTTTATCCTCCGGAATAACTTGTCATGTGAACCTTAAGCTGCACGCATGCATGATATCCACGAAAGTACATGAATTATATATGGTCTACAATACAACGTATTTTATTAAGATCTCATGAGAAAAAATTTAATACATTT